TCATTCTCATGTGCCAGCATGTTTGCATGAATTTGTGTTTCTTCCAGGCCTAGGAAAGAGAAAGAACTGAAAGAAAGAGTCAGGAAGTCTTAGTACTCAATAAAGCTCAGCATAAAATCACTTTATATGATGGGCTTTTTCCTTTAGCTTCTGTAGAGAAATATGCATAATTAGGGGCAATTTGTCCTACTGTGGAATCAGGAATGACTCTTGGTATGCACAGGTGCTAGAATATATCAGTGATCACCTGGGTGACTAAAGTTCAAGAACCAGTTTTGCCTGTTTTCCACAAGAAGTTCTGATTCCAGAATTTAAAGTTTGAAGTACAAAGCCAGACTGGTTTGGGGAGAAATTAATTGTAGTTTACATTTCTAGATGTAACTCAAATTAACTTTTGCTCTTAATAGCATAGCCCAAAACTGACTACCTGCTGATTTCTGCCTTTCTTGTCTGTGTTGGTAGACTCTGTTTGAGATAGTTGCATTATAAACTAAACATTTTAAAACAAAGGAATTTCAAAATAACCCCACCAAAGGAGGGGTGCTTGGAAAGTCTTTTCCAGAGGTAATTTCCTCTATCAGCACAATCTCAGCAATGCCATTAAAGGCAATACTCATGGAGCTGCACCTCCAGTCACAGAAAACCAGGTCTGCCTCTGCAGTGGGGATGCCACATCCACACATCAGCTCAACTTCTCCTTCCCATCCCCTTGCTACCACCTGCACTTCCAACACACGACAGAAGAAAAGGATATTAAATATTTTACAGCAGAAAAAATAGATATCTATTCCCCCACCCCTTCTTTTCCAGGACACTTTCAGCCAGGCAGATGCAGCCCATCCTGTGGCTGCACAATCATCTGCATGTGAAGGAGCTGTGAATTGGGAAGACTTTTTAAACAATCTCTGAAGAAGTGACAAAAAATTAAAAATGGGATGAGCTACACCAACAGTGGCTGTATTGTTACCAAAAGTCACCAATAACAGCAAATCTTCTTTGTCTATGCCTAGATTATAGTGCAGGTACAGCCATGAACAATATGTGAAGTTGTTTTTTATGTCAATAAAGAAAGATCACATCTCTCTTTTGAATTATTTTACTTTTATTGCTGGATAATAAACCTGAAAAAAATTTCATATATCAAAAAATATGTAAATATATAAACCACAAATATTATTAAATATTTTTATACATTATTTAAAGCAAACCTGCTTTTAATCTTCAAAGTTTCTATCTCTAGGTATTTCATGATGAATTGTAATAAAAACTTATTAACAAAGGAGAAAAAATATCTACTTTTTTTGCAGATGTGTTCACAAAAGCAAAATAATAAGCTGGCAAAGTATGATATATTGTGGAAGAAGTTATATCTTCATAAAAATGACATTCGCTTTTGTTTGACAAATATTTTATTGCATGTCTCACAGCTATTAAATAATTCCCAGTTTAATTTTTGTTGTGTCCTAAACAGTCAGTAGTAAATACTGTATATTCCCTTGCTCACTTATATTTTCATCTATATTCACAAAGAAAACTTCCAGATTTTATCTTGTTTTCTTTTTCATTTTATATACAGAACCCAGTAACTTCTTACCCTAGGGCTCAGTTCTTAGGATATATGGTGACAAACTTGCAAGCAATCAGATACAATCCTGCATATCTCAGCCTCTCTTCCAGGCTAGATAACTGGAATGCATGAGCGTAAGGAAGCTCAGTGTGCACACTTATGGGCTCATTTTCCATCTCTCTTCACTTGCCATTACATATGGCCTCCTTATTCCAGCTCTGGTTCTTATCAGCTTCATCCAGAATTGTACATTATCCCTGTAAAGATACCAAAATATGAGGACTTACCTTAGCATGTCACAGGTGGATTAGTCAGGCATCAAACTGGGACATTGGGGAACCCGTGATGGCAAAACACAAATTACCTGGGACATGAGGATTGCTGTAAGCCTTAGTGGGTGTTATTACCAGTTGACACTGCACTCCTCCTGAGGCACTCATTTGCTGCGTGGAAGGGGGATAACCCTTGTAGCTGATGCTTTATTATTTTGTGAGTTTTGCACCAGACAGCAGACACTGTTGGTGTGCCTGGCTGCACCTGCCTGTGGTCAGTGTGCCAGGGCTGCGTTGAACTCAGGAGCCCCAGCTGGGAACTGCATGCCACTCTGCTTCATTTCTGGACCCTGATCAGCTGCAGGCAAGAAATAGAAACACAGCTGCTCACCACAGAGTCATCCCAGGCATGTGCAAAGCATTTGGAGAACTTTCAGGTCAAATTGGGATGCCCCTTAGTATGGGTAAGTGACTGAGCAAGGGCTTTCCAGACTGCTTCCAGTGACTTCTGTTCTGGCCATTTTTCAACATATTAGAAATGCATGTGACTTAACAGAAATAAAATAACACTGCTGAGGCAAAATGCTCAATTCACTTGATCTCAACAGAGACAAAATGAGATTCCAAATAAGTAACTAAATGGAATAAAATTTGGCAGTGATATCTGTCTTCAGTGAATTATAAACAGTGGCAAAATGCATATGGCAAGAAACTACCCCTTTTTATTCAATTTTAATATGTCTCTGTAATCTTTCCTGACCTGACCGCCTTTCTCTGGTGTGACATGGCTAAATATCTATTAGATCCAGCTGATTACCAGATTTCTATGTTACTACGTCAATTCTTAGTATAGGAATAGACTAAAATAAAGCTGGCATGTGCCAGCCTTGCAATTGCATTAGGCAAAAAATGTAATATGTCATTTATACTTAAAAATGGAGAATATTTGATGCAGCAAAGAGTCAGTCTGTCAGAAATTCAGGGTGAAGTCCGAATTGCTAGACTGGTACACTAAAACAGGGTTGTAGTGTGGCCATAGCATTTACAATCTTGTATTGGTATGCCTCATGCTGGATTTAATGTATTTTTCAGTCCAAGCCTCATTGTTTTCCCTGGAGAGAAATAAATGTAGGAATGAAGGATTTTATTTTGTAAGAGGAGCAAAAAAAATGTAATGGCAGGAAGCTTCACAAGAACAGTCAGCAATTTATTCTATAGTTTATGTGTTTGAAGTCTTTCAACATCAGTTGTGCTCTGTCAACTTTAATATTTTAGAGCTCAGTCAGGTGCTCCTGGCTTGATACCAGTATCTTTAAATGTTGCTTTCATAGACTATAATGATGTAGTCTTGTAAGAAGAGAAACCAAAAAGAAGTGTTGCAGCTGTGCTAGAAAACAGATGACAGTACCTACTCAGTGTTTGTACATAATGTCATTGGGTAATTAATACTAACACCATTTCTGCTGATGGAGTGCTCTCATTACCCTATTCCTCTCCATTTCTGTTACAAGACACCACAACCTTTGTCTTACAGATAGAAAAACTGAGTGTCAAGGAAGCTTAAGTGACTTGTTTAGACCAAGCCAGTGAGTCGGCATTACTGCCAAGTGGGAAAATTACACCTTTCAAGTTTCCATGGCAGGACACAGTCTACTACAAAACATTAGGACTCTGGTCAATATTGTATAACATGTTAAAACGCTTCATTTGGTATCTGTTCTCCTTTCCAGCACACAGCACCTGAATGACCTTGCAAAGAAGTTGTATCTTCAGCTTTTCCCACCCAACCAACAAACCAAATTCTCAGAGTACTGAATGTGTATGGCCTGAGAGTCACTGATGTTAAAGCAATTTGCATCTTCCCAGCATTTCAATGTACAGGTTATATCTGAATATGGATTTTGAAGGTTAGCTCTGGAAAAGGAGAAAACCTAAAGAAGTGTCACCTATAAATTTACTTTCAGTGGAAAGATTAGGAAGTTTAAATGCAACACCTTTTTCCAATGCCCTCCAGAAATGTGCAGTTTTAGCACATCCACCCTCGGATTTCTCTTAAAAGTTTACATTAGAAAAAGGACAAGTAAGGAAAAATGGAAATTACAGAATATAATATGATATTTACTGATTGCAGTTCAGTTTTCTGGGTAGGAAAAGATACAGTAGATCACAAGACATATTCATGGTCAGCAAAAGTTCAGTGAAATTTCTGTTATCTTAAATAAACTAGTTGTTAAAAGGTACTGCTGATAGGATTGTCAGCAAGAGGAAATTATTTTAGCTCTGTTCCAGTATTGAATTGTTGCAAATGGAAAGTACTATAACCTTGAAAACTGAGATGTTTCTTAAACCAGCAATAAAAAATATCAAAACATGGCTTTGGACAGCCTTTTAAACAGAGTTTTACATCTGAAGTTAATACCTTAGTGTCTAAGGTGGAGACATTATGGAGATAGCAGCATCTTGGCTCTGATCATTAAAAATCTAAGGAATTAATGCTGTTCAGAAATGGATTCTACTAAAGTGTCTAAACACTGGACAGTACAATCACATATATCCAGACACTTCAGTCACTTTTAAAAAATTGATATAAAGACTTAAGACCTAACTTTTGACAAAAACCCATTATTGTTTGTTCAAGACCAAAAAGATAATATTCAAAATTAAAAATGGTGCTAAACAAAATGCACAAACCTTATTTTATAGAATGCTATTCCTAAATTTTACATCAATTACTACTAAATTCAGAGGGTCTTGGAATCACTCACCTGAGAAAAAAGGTTTTCCTATCTGTCTCTTCATGGTTTTGACTGGTAGAAGCATTGTTATAAAAACTAAATTATAAAAAAAATATATACAAAATGTATTACATATATATAAATAATAAAAAGTGCATTGCATAAGGAATATTTTTTCTAATTTATCAACATATAGCAATATAGAATATAAATGTATGGCCCTAAGATTATTTAATATGTCTATAGAGATACATGATTTATATATATATATATATATATATAAAATATATATATATATTTATATATTTTTATATAATTTTAAAAATTACTGAAAATTTTGGTTTGTGATTCCTTGTCACTGTGAGTGCACACTGCCCATATTTATCCCAGCCCATAGTATGATTTTTCCATTCTGTTCTTTTACAGAAACTTCTAACATAGTGAAACCTCTCTACATCTCTTGTTCAGCTTCCCCCTGATTTGTTTTGGCTCTCAGCCCCACTTCAGATGTACTCTCCTCATGAGGAAAGAGCTGTGGAAAGGACATTCAGAGGTCATCTAGTCCAAGGTGGGACCTAGCAAACTGCGTCACTGCTGACATTCTTACAGATGAGGGTGATTGTGCATCCTCCCTCACAATCTAGAACTGGTGGCTGTCCCTGAGACTGAACTTCTTCCCAGGGTCTCTATTAGATTTGCACTGCTGCAAACCCATTACCTAAAATTTTCTCAACACTGGACAAGAAGAAAAAAATATTTATTTTTACTTTTCAACAACTTTTGATATTTGAGGATTATTATCACATCCCCCTGAACCTTTTTGAACAACTGTTTCCTCCAGTGTTCCCTGGCAGGCTATACCTTGTAGTGAACCCTGCTGCTCACCTCTGAGCTTGCCACAAATCCACCTCAAGTACTTCAGACCAGCCATATTAATCCAACTGCTTCTAGCCAGGGCTAATCATGGTGGAAAGATTAATTCATGCTTTGCAGCCTCTACTCCTGCTTTTAAATCCCGGCATGAAACCTGAGTTTTTTGCAATAGCACACTCTTGTTAATTGTGCTCAGCTTCTGATCCACCCACCTGAGTCTTTCCTTAAGGTGCCAGCACTACACCACCTGTTCCATGAGTATTATTTGGCAGTTAATAGTTCTACCTTGTATTAGTGCATATAGAATTTGAGATATCAAACATTTCTGGATGAGGAAGACCCTTCCAAAGATCGCAGTTCAATACGTGCATTTTCCTCTTAGACTGCAGATTAATGTCAACTAAAGTTGCGGGTTTTTTGGGGTTTTTTTTTGGCAGCAGTCTATGGAATTTGCCTCCAGACCTTATTTCCCTAACTTGTTAATGAGAATGCTGCATGATAATCAAAAGCTACATTAGAGTCAAGATATATTGCATCTTCTGCTTTCTTCTCTCTACAAAATCTGTTCCTTTCTCATAGAAGGAAATTAGATTGATTTGACACAATTTGTACTTGACAAATCCCTGTTGGCTATTGTTCATCTCATTTGTTATCCTCAAGGTGCTTGCAGACAGTTTGATTATTTGTCCCTGTGTTTTTCCAGGAACTTGAGCTGGTTGGTCCATAATTCTCTGTTTCAGTCTTTCTCTTGTTCTATCTCCTCTTTCTCTGTCTCTCTTTTCCTCTACTCCCCCATTGCTTTCCTATTTATTAAACTAGTTATTATATTTACCCTTTCTAGTAATTTGAGTTGCCATACTTTTCTCTGAGCTCTCAAAGAAAACAGAAAACAACTTGTTTATCTAAGGTGGTTTATAGGGCTATTTGCTGTCTCTTCAAAAGAATTAAATACTGACATGTAAGGACTGAGGGCTACTCCAGTATTTACTCTACCTTCATACCCCAAGTACTTCAGTGAAGTAGATGTGGAGATTTGTTTGCATTAAGGTGTCAAACCATTTACTGGAGCAGATGAAGATGCTTTTTTCTTGTTCCACTGTTCCTGCTGAAGGACAGTGGCCTGGAACAGAGGAAGGGCCTGGCAGGCAGAGGGATTGTTTTACACTGTTCCTGCTCCTCTAGGTACAGTGCCATGAGCCCCCAGTGTCATTAAACCACTGCTGCTCATTCCCAATTTACTGCAGCAACAGCCTCAACAAAATGGAACTACACAAATCCTTCTTGCCCTTCTGGTGACATCTGTGACTACAGTTTCCTCCCACTGACTACTGAGTCAGCTCTCCACTAGGTTTTCCACATGCTAATAATCTATTTACAGATGTTTTCTCTTTCCTCCTTGTGGTCTTTTCTGATTGTACCGCACTTCACAGCTTGGTTTTCGTAATTTCGCCCATATATACTTACACTGTTCTTTTATCCTTGTGCCTGATATACTGACCTAGTTTCAATTTCTTCATGCTTCCTTTTTGTGTTTGAGGTTAATGAAGAGCATGAGATTTAGTCAAGCTGATCTCTTTCATAAGAAGAGCTTGTGATTGTGATCTTAATAGTGTTTCTGTGAGGAACAGCCAAATTTCCTTTTTTCTTTAGCCGTGTTCCTCAGGAGAACTAACCTAATAATTCTCTGAGGGCAGAACTTTGCTCAGAAGCTTTTAACTCCATTTATTCTCCATTACTTTTATTTAAAACAATGTGTTGTGCTTCAGATGGGACAAATGGGATGAGATGCCAAAATAAAAACAGTTAGATTAAGTCTATGAATAAAATTCAGCTGTTGCCTGTGGAATAAGCCTTCAACCTAAGTTTCTTCAGGTAGGCTCTGATTTTAAAATGTAAGAGTGTATTTCAAAAGTAAAATAAGAAGTTGTAACTCCTGATGGCTGGACTTCTCAGTTTCACAAGAAGGATGTACAAATACTAACTTTCCCTTTCAGCGTGTTTGGAAAATCAGTATTACAAGAAAGAAAGTGCAAAGTTTCCCTGCTGCAGAAAACAGCTAATGTGACTCTGCTATTTATGTTCTACATTAAGAAATCACTCTACATTTTATTCTCCCTGAAATGTGTGAATTTCTTTGAGCTTTTGTGCCTTTACAGCCGCTCTACAGCTCTAGAGGAGATCTCCTTCTAACATTAAACACCATTATGCATCGTGTAAGTTTCTTTGATGTAGGATATAATTTCAAGTATCCATATGCAGACTCATAGCTCGCAGCAGTCAGCACTGCCACTTAGAAGTTATTATCATGGGGTTCACATTTTGAAAACTTCTTTTAATCTTTGAAGTCTCTCTAGGGAAGTGACTCATGTTTCTCAATGAAAAGTTGAAATAGTAACAATCTTCTGAAAATATGATAAAGACAATTTCAATATTTTTAATGCCATTGATTACTTAAATGTATTTCAAGTCCTAATATAAGAGTTTTGAGTTTACAGTTATGGGCTAATAGATTGCCCATAGCAATTAGTTGCTCAATATGTAACTAACATCTTTTTGTTGTTGATCTGAACCCATCCAAACTATAAAAAGAACAAAAAATGAGAAAAAAAGTTACTGCTCATATACAGTCAAGACCCATGGTCACTCACAAGAGGCTGTATAGCCACTCCTGCACACAGGGGCAAGACCTTATTTACTCATCCATCAGCTTTAACAGTTGCTATAGTAAGTTGCAAATACCTAGAGTATTAAAATCAAACTTTGGAAACTCGTGATAAATTATCTAGGATTAAGAATTCTTGTTGGAGGTTAATAAGAGAAAACATATCAGACATTATGACTGATCAGAAAGGAGATTAAACTAATTTCCTTTGTTGTAAATCAGAATATTGCAACTGTGAACATTCATGAATGTTCTTACAAATTTTTTCTAGTGAGTTCCAGCCTTAATCAATCAAGTTGTAAGTGGAGACCATCAAGTATTTGACAAAACTAACATGTGTAAACACTTGAATTAGTAAAAGAATTACTCTTTTACAAATATACTTTATTGTATAAGAGAGAACTTATCACTTTAATGAATATGGATTTCTATGAGTTGTGCACATGTAAATAATAATCAGAGATCTACTTTTTGTGAGATCTTTAAATTCTCTGTAAGACAAACTATTGACCAAGGAAAACCTGAGGTAAGTATTTTCTTCAAGGGGCAATAAATATCTGTGTTCACTGGAATATAGTTAACTAAATGTGAAACTACCACAGGGTAAATGTAATAGGACCATCATTGGCTCTGGAAAATAAAACTATTTCATGGTGTGTTTTTTCCTTTCAACTGTACTGACTTTCACAGATAAGGAACAAATAATAATTGTAACGAAAAGAAAAAAATATGGAGAATTTAGTTTGTGGGGCACTAATGAACTTGCAAAATTGCATCTTAAAAAAAATTACAGAATGTTAAACATCTTCTCTAATGGCAGAAAGCTCTGACTTTATTTGTGCAGTCAAGGCCTGGCTTAGTTACCTCTGGTCTCTGCCTGACACTCTGCTCAATCAGCTTCTGAGATCCCAAACAGACAATGACTTACCTTTGGTATCTGCAACTGGAAACAAGTCTTTTCTTAAAGGTGGAGGGAAATTGCCATTACTTTTTTCTGCCTTTAGATGTGGATTTCATTTTTCTGAAACTTTTTCACTCAAATGTGTGAGAATTTTATGAAAGCCTTGGGCCCTGATTTTGCTGATATTTAAAGAGTTTCCAGGTTGGTTCTGCAGGTTCTGAACTCCCATCAGAGGTGACTTTTCTAGTCTGACCTCTGACTGAAGTCACCTAAAGTCACTGTGATGTATATCCATGCAGACAACAATTGGCTTTGGTCCCATCAACTCCATGACAAACACAGAAATATCTCAAATGTTCCCAGACTCTATATTTAGTCAGTCACTGTTTATGGATATGTGTTGGTTGTAGAAGTTTGACATTTTTGATGCAGCAAAACAAAAAATATATTTCTGTTTCCATCAGGTGGGAGATTTAGTTTTACATGATCACTTGGTGAGAGAGTTCAGTCTCTAAAGTAAATAAAGATATCTTCAAAGGAGTAATTCAGTGATGTCAATACACATTAAACCAGTCCAATTTTCTACCTCTGAAGGTACAAAGTAAAGCTCTCCCTGAGAATATATCCCACAAAAGATGAAATATCCAGGAGAGAAACTGGATTATCATAAGCCATACCAGGAATTACCATTTCATGAAATCTGTGGGGGCATGGTTTTGAGAAAGCTAAAGCAGTGAAGCTGATGTTACAAAGACGTTTCCAGCTGCAGTTCTGGCTGTCTGCAACATGGTGGCTGTTTTTAGTTATCATGATAAACACATATCAAATATTTGGAAATCTACAGCAACACATTTGGAGGGACAGTAAATGCAGAGCTGAAAGCATCACAAGGGACAAGTAGAGATGTACTAGGCTGACCAGTAGGAGCCCCTGACCATGGCAGATTCTTTCAGTGAAGTTGACAGTATTAATCATTGCATGCATTGTTGGGAGCAGGGCACAGGCTTCTCCTGCCTTGGTACCCAGGCCAGAAGCCTGCAAAGCTGACTCTGTGTGTTTGTCTCACAGACTACCTCCCTATGCAGGTGTTGTATTTTCCTCTGAAAAATCTGAAAAGTCCAGCTCTGGTCTT